ACACACACACACACACACACACACACACACACACACACACACACACACACACACACGCAAATTTTAAGATACGGTATTCTCTTGTTGTTGTTTTTAATTCACTTTTATAAGCTGCTTTTGTTCTCGTTTGATCGGTTCGTTCATGGTTTTAGACGTCGTGCTTATTTGATTGCGTGAAGCACATGGAGCTGCTCCGTGTAGGAAATGTGCTGTGTCAGTCGAGGGGTTCGTAGGTTTTAGATGGATTTGCTTTACGTTTAGAATGGGCAAAAAGCGGAGGACGACTTCGTTTGAACACAGCTCTTTTTTTTTCCCCTTTGAAGGCAGTTTTTCTTTCCCCCCTCTGCACCTCCGCACGAATGAACGAGAACACACCTCCTTCCCGGTAACACAAAACACTTCCTGGTTTCCTTAACCAATCAGATAATATCAAAATAAACTTGTTTAAGCAATTATTAAACGGAATATAACCTAGGTAACTGTAACACAAAAGAATATAATGCTCAAATAAAAATTGAAAATAATTAATAATTTAACATAAGCTTACATGCTGTATGAATAAAGTTGCCTTTCCTTTCCTTACAACAGCCTATTATGAAATTCATACCTCTCCAACATTGTGCCAATCACAATGATGGACAACAGTGAGGAGTCACGACAAGCCGGAAGTCGCAACAACCTCTATAATTTTGCGATGTTTCGTTCGACCAGTAGGTGGCGTGATAAAATCATATTGATTCTCAAGAGTGTATTGATTCGAAAAAAATGTTCTTACTGTAGCTATTCTACTTTTATTTCGTTCAGATATCAGAGCCCCGTCACAAAAAGACAAGCGTACCTGTCTGGGCCACTGAAGACGACACAGAAGGCCCAGTTCGATTTGTTTGACAAGTCATTGTTTGACAATAACTGAGGCAGCAGAATATTATGTTCGCTGTTTGCAAATTCTTTTATGATGTCCAGAGTGAACAAGTCCACAGGGTTTACTGTTATCCGGCTTGGTTGTGCTTATTGCCAGAGTTTAATGAGTAACTCCGGCAGCTAAATAATACAGGGCGCGGGGGTGATTTCTTACGCACTGCTGACTCTGAAGCACTCATGGCTCCTTGAGGTGAAAATCTACCCGTTTAATCTGTCCAAAAAAAAAAACCTGAATTTGTTATTAGGGCTTCTTTATTATATTTCATCACTCAGACGAGGCCATCACGGTAAGTGTCAATACTTCTAAGGTTTTCAAACAACAATTTTGGGGTTATTATTGAAGATTGAAGGCAAAATGTGCATTGCTCTCCTTATTTGTTTTGTAGCAGATGTCCACTTGACCGGCTTGGGGTGCTCCAGATTTTGCCTTTTTTTTTTTTTTTTTTTTTTTTTTGCTGCAATGAACTCTGTGGCAAGTTTATCCTCCCTGACTGCTTGCTTGTTCCTCTCAATGTGTCTTCTGTCTTCACGTAAGATCTAAATTCTTTTACAAGCTGTGTGAGACAGTTGAGAGATGAAACGCTTCGCTTAAAAAAAAAGACTGAATGAATTTGGGTCAAAAATGCTGAAATGTCAAAGAGGAAAGCGCTGTAAAAAGTGGCATTTGCTGGGTGCTCTTACAGTAAGTCTTGAATGGAGGCTGCATCCATTCGACATCTATTATTACTCAGAATTAAAATGTACAGTTTTGAATAGAACAGCATTCTTCAGGGGCAGCATTTAATTTTATGATTGGTCAATTTGCAAGGAAGTCATGTACGAATTCTCCTGTGTTTATCAGCCTCAAGCAGCAGCAGCTTGTGGGGCCAGAAGATCCACTTTGGGTTTCGTCCATGTGTGTGGCAGTTGCACCCGGACACCGTGGTGCCCCCCCTCAGGAACCTGAGCGTATGCATGCTACTGCAACGCGCTTACGACACAGAATGGATTGCTTTTGTCTACAAAGCTCCAGGAAGTAGACATGTGGAGCTGGGCTTGGGGGGCACGGGAACCCAGCTGGTGGTCTGGGTCTTTGGACAAGAATGGCGTTTAGATTTGGAATTGAACGTGCTCCAGTGGTATTCAGTCTGCCTCACCTGGTCTGGGGGGCCCAATAGGCTGCAGGTCTTTCTGAATGGAACCATGCGCAGTGAGGCCTCTTTTGCAAACGTCATCGCAGATCAGCATTTGGGCCACAATGGGACCCTAACTCTGGGGATGTCGCACTATGTGGACGCCAGTGGTGCCGTCAAAGTGGAGAAGGGGAATAATCTCATCGGAGCCATCGGTCAGTTCAGGATGTGGTCCAGCGACTGGAACGAGGAGGAGCTGGGGAGGCGAATGTGCGCGGACGGAGATGTTGTGAGCTGGGACCTGCGCCACTGGAAACATGACTGCCCCCTCGAGAAAGACGCCAGCCTGCACTGCGGTAAGAAAAATGATATTGTTTTCATGTGAATCAGTAGTTTCAACTGTTGTTACTAAGTTGCAACCTATTTCATAGAAGTTAAGAATAATAAGCTAAAGCATTTTTGTACAGCATGTTACATGACAAACGCTATTGCTAGCTGTGATGCCCACAAGCCAAAGGCGGAGCCGCACTGTGTTTGTTTACAGAGTTGCTAGTGACCAGACCAGAAGTGAGTAGCATTTCTCGACCCAATATTATATGTACTGTGTGGGAACTTTTAAGTACAGAAGAATTTTTTTTACGAGCTGTCCGTAACCTACCCAAAATGTGTCCACGACCCACTTTTGGATCCTGATCCCCCAGTTGAGAATCACTAATGGGCCACGGAGAACAACCACAAAAATCTAGACAGTGGGCCTCGCTATTCACGAGGGACGGAGACCGGGCTTATCAGCGAATAGGAAAAGTTCGCGTATAATGACACGGTTATCAATGTTTTGAAAAAAAAAATTGAACACCAAAAGTTTTAGAAAAACAGAAATAAATGACCGACAAGTACTCTCCCTAATATGTGTAGTTCTTTAAAATTTCATAATTCATCGTTTAAAGCTGATATTTTAATTACATGGGCTTATTTGCTTTATTTTAAATAGCATGGTCCTTCTTCAAAGTCAAAATGCAGACGTCCCTCAGACGGAAAAGACAGCCAGGAAATTGTTCTGAGTCACTGACGAATCTCACCAGAGAATGGGTATGAAGAAAAAAAGTGGCACATGGAAAAGATTTGCCTTGAATTAACCTCTGCTATCTCTTATCAGTTCGAGACTATTTTCCCACAACACATTTCTATTAGCGACATATCTGTGGACTCACCTGTCAGGTAACTTTTTTGTGAGTGGGACTTAATGAAGAAGAGTCACGTGATCTGGAGTTCAATTGTGTCACCTCTGTTTCCAAACAGCCCGAAATGCGGTGTGCAAATACTTCAGGTACAGTATGTCGGCCATCACGTGACATAAACAGTAATAGGCTACTATCTTAAAGACAAAAGGGACCATCTCTATTGGTTTTCTTTTAACTATGCACAATTTCATGTCGTGTTTGTAGCAGAGGTGAAAAAAAGCAACCAAAAAAAAAATCAAGGGCTGAAGGGCACATTATAATTTCCATCATCCATTATTACATAACATTAAATGAAATGGAAATGTAATGTATCAAATACGGACTTGAACTCTCGCCCCCCCCCCAATAATGTGATTTTTTTTTTCCAGCAATCAAGAGCTGTGTCCGCTACTGCTTGTAACAAATGGTGAGCTCAATTCAAGTCAGCCCCACAAAAAAAAAACCAAAAAAAATGTAGTGCCTTATGATACAACTTTAACTCATTCTGTGACCACACTTGTAACTCAAAACACTTGAATCTCAAATCATCATGTCCTGTTCTTTGAGATGTCTCAGCTTCTCTCAGCTCATCAGTAGGGCACTAATCTCACTAGTTCTTCTCAGAGGATAAAGAATCAATGACTGTGAGGACTGCCATATTGTCTCTTACACGTGTTGCCACACCCTTTGTGTTTAATCCGTTGCATTTGTATCATTTGCACCACTGTCATTTCAAGTGAAATAATATTATAGGATAGTAGATTGACTTTGTGTAATGTTTTTCTGAGTGGCAAGTCTTCTGTTTACATGCCGAGCTTATTTTACATCAAGTTTTAGCTCAGAAGTTACGATCAAGGTGGATCCCGCTGATAGTGTGGAAGTGGTTCAGGCTTATGTTGCCAAACGGCTGGTTTGGACCTTCTCCACTGACACGCTCATCCTGACGGCGGAACACAACAGCATCCGCGTGCTGCCTGTGGGTGAGTTGGAAGTCGTAAACGGCCGTTACTGTCAGGTTAATTTTCAGATTGATCAAATATTGACTCAACTCATGACCTCAACTATATTATTGTGTGTACATTGTCATATTTTAGTCACTTTTTTTTTTTTTTTTAAATAAATAGAATCATCATCACCCGTCATGACATCTGCACCACCCACTGTGACTTTGCCCGGTAAGGAGGCAGAACAATGATGCATGTATTAAAATGGACTGTTTGCTTTCGGCAATAAAAATATTGCTTTGGTGCTATTTTTGTGGCATCTTGGTGCTAAGGTACAATGTGAAGGTTGTCTGAGGAGCTTCATTCAGACAAAAGTAGTGCTTTACCACTACCTTGTGGCATCTTGGGGCCAAGGCACAATGTAGAAGTCCGTTGAGGAGTTTCATTTGGACAAATTATAGCTTTACCATCCTGATATGGTGCCAAGGAACTATCTTGAAGTTAGACAAAGACCTTAATTTAGACAAAAGTAGTCCTTTGCTGCCATAGTGTAGCATCTTGGTGCGAAGGCACTATGTCAGCGTGATTAAGAGTTTCATTTAGACTAACAACTGGGGCTAAACTTAACTCCTACTCAACATTCAATAACAGAACAGTAAGAATGTATACTTCCTTTACATCACTTACTACTTTTCAGGGCTTTGCTGAAATAATGATAAGCTCACGATTGACTTACAGGAACTGAAAACAAGACACACACAGATTTTGAATAATAATCTTCAGACTAAGACTAATTTTGTAAAATTGGATATACCGCCTAGAACAGAGGTTGGGAATCACTGCTCTTTGGCAACGGAAGTCTACATTGCTGCCACTCTGAGGCGACCAGTTAGTTTCTTCATCCGTTCAATTTGACAGGTACAACCCAAAGGGTTCCCGAGCAAGTCGCTAATATGTCCACAACAGGAAATCCTTTGTACGTCAATGTGAGTGCAGGTCAGTGCAGATTAATGGATCTCTTCTCTCTCTCTCTACACACACTTATATATATATATATATATATAAAATTTATTTATTCATTTTATGTTGTGCTGCCCTTTTTCTTTTCATTTATTTTGTTATTTCAATTTGACAGGTACAACCCAAAGAGTTCCCGAGCAAGTCGCTAACATGTCCACAACAGGAAATCCTTTGTGCGTCACTGCCGCTGCAGATGTGTTTCTGAGGGCCAAACTCAAATTGGATTTCATCGGTAATGCCTCAAAACCAGAGAAAATAATTGAGCACTGGGTAAGACCATCACAAACTAATGTATTGGGATGCATTTGTGTGCAATTCGCATGCATTGAATTCTCTTGTTTCCAAAGTTAAAAAAAAAGCTGGAAGCAAAGGGCACTTCGCTCATATGGAACGTCCTCATCGTGGAAGTTGCCTGGAGGTGCGTCAAAATGACTCATCCGTAAGATAACATTCATTAAAATGTCCTGTCTGAATTGATTGTACATTCACAGGAACGCAAAGAGACTTAATATCCAGACGGTGAGTGTTGCAGTGAAAGAATACACAGTCACGTTGAATTAATCAATATTTGTATTTGATGAACACAACTGTCTGGTTTCCTTTCTTGTAGCGGTTCCACGAGCAATTCAAACAGTAGGTGACTTTTCAGTTAGCGCCGTCTGTTTTTCGCTTATATAAGTGTGTTGTGTGTTTCATTAACAGGTACACGTGTGACTTCCATGTTCAAGATTACAGCATGAAGCACATTGAGGAAATTAAATATTTCATTAACACCACCTTGACGCCCCAGTATGCAAACGACTCCAGTGTCATTCAAACTACAGATATGACGCTCAAACAAATATGTAGGTATACAAACCATCAAGTTCACACACACACACACACACACACACACACACACACACACACACACACACACACACACACACACACAAACACACACTTGTATATACACACCCAATCTCACACACACACACACACACACACACACACACACACACACACACACACACACACACACACACTTACAACAAAACGGAACCCCGAAAGTTGAAAAATGAACAAATTTTGCCTGAGAGAATAATATAAATAATCTATTTCAAGATAACATGCATTTTATTTCACAAATTTTAACAGTTCCGAGTTGTCTTCCTTAGTTTGGTGTGTTTGAAAGTGCTCTATAAATAAAGTTGAGTTGAGTTGAGGGAGTTGAGTTGAGTTGTTTGTGAATTTAGTAGAGGCGCTATACCTGACTGGGAGTTTCTGCCTCACCCCCCAGCGCATCTGCAAATTTGTTGAGAAAAATTAGACTCGATCATAGATTATTTTGCAGCACAGGTGGTCTAACACGATCTTGGTGTATTTGATCAAGGCGCAGGCCCACACCCTGATTGTGATGCAAATGGGAGATCCCGCAAGGATTGGTTGGGAAAAGTCTATTTGCATGCCACAAAGGCACAAACACACCCAATTCCACTTGTACAAAGTTTGGCAAAAAAAAAAGACAAGTATTGTGTAAACATGGTAGTGATATGCTTTTTCTCTTTCAGTTCCTCCAGTTTGTTTAGAAGAAGTGTCAGTGACAATCTACGGAAAATACTTTTGGCCTGAAACCTGTCCTCAAGTTAATCAGACCATGAGATGCAGTAAGCCAAGCTCCAAGGAAGCCTTCAGACTTTGGTAAGATCTTCTTGTCGATACCACTTATCCTGATTATGGTGAGCTGGAGTCTATCACAGCTGATTTCAGTTGAGGCGTCGGGGGACACCCTCGACTGGCCGCTCAAGTCAAAAAAGCCGCACAGCTATAAGCGCTTTTTTTAGCCGCGCGTATTCTCCCAGCCGCTGAAGTCTCTCATTTACGCACATTTTCTTGGGCAAATATTAAAAGTCATAAATATATCATGATGTCAAAAATGGAGCAAAAAAAAAAAAAAAAAAAGATTCCCGGGGACCACGCGTGGGACAGCGTCAACGTGGGGCTTAGGTAATCTGAGCCGACATTTACCTTGGATGATGCTGAAATAAGGCTGGAATTCTTTTCATATGGGTCTATTAAATAGACCCAAGGTTAACAGGATACGGATGAAGTAAATAGACTCTATTTACTTCATCCGTATCCTGTTAACCTTGGTCAGAACAAACCATTACCCTGGAGACGACCCCGGCTCCTTGCCGTTCTTCCGTTCGGCACGCACGCCTCAATTGAGATATTGTTCAAGTTGCTCATGTAATGATGGGCCTTCATGATATAAGCATGACATGATATTACGAAATCAGCATGACGATTACACGGATCCAACTTCGAAAAAAATGATTTGAGTTACTTGACAAGTTCCCGAGAGAAAATGAATGGACTTGAACACAAGAGGAGAAAATGTGGATTTCCTCCCACATCCCCATAACTTATTCGGTTTATTGAAAGCTCTCAAATTTGAACGACTGTTCGTCTAGTTGTGCGTCAGTTGGGCAGTCGCAGATCCAGATGCAAACCCCCACTTGGAACATCTTTCGTATGGCTCGTGTGGGAGCTCTAAATTGTCTGTCGTTGTGAATGTGTCTTTTTTCTATACTGCACGTGCTGTGCGATTGGTGAGCGACCAATCCGGGGTGTACACCGCCTCTCCCAAAGTTAGCTTGGTTTGTCTCCAGCTCACATATTTCTGGGTAACAGAGAAGTGATTGATGACCACCTAAACAGAACTGAAACCATGACAAAAACGTTTGAGATTGTGCCAGCAGATATAACCAAATTTTTTATTTTTGGTGACATCAGAAACTGTTCGGGCTTTTGCCAAGCGAACGTACTTGTGACGTCAGTGGAAAATGTAGAATACAATGCCTCGAGGTCATTTGTCTGTCATCTGATTGTATTCAGTGAATTACACCTTGAAAACGACACAACCAGCTGGGCCCAGCCGGACATGACAAATTGCAGTCCAATTGAGTCCATTTCAGAACTTGAAAATATCACTGTCACCACCGGTAAGATGCGCAATCCCATATCGGTCATTTTCGTCTTTCCAAATAGAACCCGACGAGGGGAAATTGGGAATTTCAAGTTTGCGTGTTGTTGTTTTTCAGATAATGCCGCTGAAGTGGTGGACCTAATCCAGAACCTGGTCAACTCCATGTTGGGCAACGCCACACAGCTTCCGCCTTCCGAGCTCCATACGGTGGTGGAGAAACTCAACCAGGTGGTAAATGTCACCACCGTCACACAGGAGCTTGGCGACAACATCGTTCGCGTTTTCTCTGACATCTTGATTTCCGACACGGACGTGGCCCCGGTGGCTGCTAGGTAAGGATACAGAAGCACGCTCTGGCTGCGAGCATTCATAACATCAAACTTTGACGCACATGAAACGCCCTTTTTTTTGGCAGGGGTACGCTACAGTATGTTCCATTAATTGTTTGAAAATCATTCCCATCTTTCACTGTTTTTGTGGTCAGGCCAAAGCCATGTCTAATTTAGAAATATTCTCTACTGGCTCTCAACGAAGGCCGACACTCCTCATCCAAATACTAACATTGGAATTTGTCTAAAATGGCTGCTTCAAACGAAAATTGTTCAACTTTAGTCTTGAGACTCTTCCAAGTTGACTTTCATGATAAAAGATGTCTACTCGATTTTGTGTCGATTACTGAAATTGATATTAGGGTACAATTTTAATTCATTTTTATTTCCAAGGGTCACTACTGAGTAAGTGAGGAAGAGGTGTTCATCCTCTGGAAGAAAAATGACGTTTTGTGTACTTTTGTGTACTCTGTTTCTTTAGCGAAATTTTTTCCCCACACATTCTGTAGATTTGAGTGTGTACTGTCAAAGGCATCTTCAAATTTTAGGATAGAACTATTTGGACAAAGTGAACCATGCGCTCAACTGGGTGTGTTTTTTTTTTCATCCCTCCCTTTGCCAAAATAGTATCCTGAACCTGACGGATAAAATGGGCAACACGATGGAGTTTGAGAATGAATCGCTAAGTCTGACCGCCCCTTCGCTGGCTCTGTCCATGATTGACGTGGCTCCCGAGGGATTCAACGGCCTCACGTTCAGAGCAGTGTCCATGTCTTCGTTCCAGGAGCCGAATGTAATACCCAGAATGTGGTACAGTCGTCTAGAAATTTTCATTTTCTGGCATTGATGTTAAATTCTAATGAGGAATTGTTTTGTGTTTGTGTTTTTCAGGTACTTGTCAACCAGAGTTTTGAGGGCAAACCAATCCCGGCTGCCAATGCGACCATATCCCTGCCGTCTACTCTCCACAACTTCCTTCCACCTGGACAGAGGAATAAAACCCGGGTCCAGTTTCAGTTCTATGGAACACAAGACCTCTTCCAGGTATGCTCGTGTGAATTTTTTTTTTTTTTTTTTTGTCCAAGCTGATTCTGTCCTGCCTCTCTTGACAGCTTTCTAAAAATTGACAACATTGACACAATATCGCTGCATCGTGGTGAAAAAGTTGTTCCTTTTGTATGCTATGCCAGGCGAGCCAGGGTGCATCCTTAGCTAGGCTAACTAAGTAAGCTAGCAGTTAGCTTTGGCCCAATTTGCAGTGGTATCTACACACAATGGCATCCTTATCTTTTCTCGGCAATGATCATTAGCCTACATGAAAAGGGAACTTTGTCCTTTTATCTCTCTTGTGCGATGTACAAATAACCTTAATAAGACATTAATTACTTTCCATTCTGCTATACTTTATGGCACGGTCTCTTCATACAAGCCCAAGTGTGTCAAACTTGTTTTCGTGCTGGCCTACATTGTTGTTAAGGTTGCCCTCAGGGCGGAGGTTGTATGCTATTACAACCTCCGAATGGCAGGTTAAAAGTCACTGTTTGGTACGCCGCTTGGTGTTTAGGTCATGCTTTGATTCACGTTAGATGCATTAAGGGAACAAATTGCGACAGTGACGCCTTTTGTTTTGTACAAAGAAGAACAGGTGAATGACATCAACAATATAAAACCGCGGCTCATAACATGGGAAATTCACAACTTGGTGCCAGTATCTCTTTCTGGTATGTGCGGTAATGCGAGGCGGCGAGTTACGTTTTCCTTTTGCATTCTTGTTTGCTTGATGCCATTTCAAAGAAGACTTGACATTGTGCCATATTGTTACGTTAGCCATGACATCTGCTAAATTTTAGATTTCCTGGATTGAGACAAATATTTTTCGGGTAAAGAGAAACCCTTGTCGGAGCTATTTCTTTGACTAAGAGTGAAGCATCAGCTGAACCTTTTAGCCAGGTCAAGAGAAATTCTCTTTACCAGAATTTTTGTTTTCTCTTCAAATGAGAAATCCAAAACTGGTCATAGAAGAATATAATTATGACGCAATAAATCTTTGCTTACGGCGCCAACGTGAGGTGAGAGTCTGATACACTGACGCTTTTGTGTCCCTCACCAAATGCGTTGTCTCGAGAACTTTAATAATCACCTGACCATATTACAAAATAGCCCAGTGCATTTGGTCAGCATTTTCATGATTTGTTTCGGGAAAAATCATGACAGGCTTCCGTCGGCCACGTGAAATGAAGTGGTGACATAATTTGGGCTGCAGGCCATGTGTTTGAAACCTGTGGTTTTCAGGAATCACATTTGTTTGGTCTCACCGACAGGGCCCCCAAACTGCCAACGCAACGACGCGCAGCGACTTGATGTTGAACTCTTACATTGTGTCCGCAAGCATCAACGGCAGCCACGTTAGCAACCTGAGTGACGGCGAAAGAGTGGTGATTACGCTACGTCATCGCAAAGCAAAACAAGTGAGACCCTAGACATCGTGCATCGACTACTCACAAAAAATTGGGGAAATTGGGATTCGGGGAAATTTCAGGATGAGACGAAAATGCACTAGAACTCTTACAGGATAACTTAAGTGACTTTGTATTTTTTTTTTTTTTTTAGAATGGCGACAGGATGCGGTGTGTGTTTTGGGATTTCCAAGAGAATGGTGAGGGTCTCGACACTCGAAGGTCTACATTGAGATTAATGGAGCTTCCTGGTGGAACGATGCAATAAAAGTGCAGGGACTTGTCTGCCAGCAGATAAAGCACCTTAATAATTTGTGTGTGTGTGTGTGTGTGTGTGTGTGTGTGTGTGTGTCAGGTGGACTGGGTGGATGGAGCAGCCTCGGTTGTGAAACTTGGACTCTTTCGCCTTATCAGACCAGATGTCTGTGTGAGCACCTCACACATTTTGCTGTGCTGCTGGTGAGTCATACTGGATGTGTACGTTTTCTGACGGAAATCATTTCTTGGCAGCGGGGGATTAAATAAACTCCTATAGCCCCACATAGGGAGTTCAAACCGGTCAGGCAGTTATATAGCATGATTTTATTTTTTTCCCCTCGTGGGTTGCATGATACGAGCACATCATTAGGACCTTCTTACAATAGCTGTATCGGAGGAAATATTTTCAAATTGTCTTCAACGTTGACAAAACTACGTCTCAATTGTCTGACATTTACAAACACATTAGCATTGTTGAAGACGGGTTTTCTTTGATTTTTACAAAAACATTTAGTTTCGGTGATTTGATATTTACAAAAACACGTATTGAAAATGACTACTGTTTCCAAAATCACATTTGTTATGTTCACTGAAGACGGCATTTTCTTTCACGTTTACAAAAAAGCTGTATGTGAAATTAGCAGAAACCATACTGTCTTTGGAGTTTACAAAAACCCATTGGGATATTTTAGACTCTAAATGTATTTGTTGTCATGTAAGCAAATTTTAAGCACATTTTGATCAGATGGCCTTATGCGTCTGCTGGTTAGCGCGTCGGCCTCACAGTGCAGAGATGCAGGGTTCGATTCCGGTTCAGGCCTTACTGTGGGGAGGTTGCATGTTCTCCCCGTGCCTGCGTGGGTTTTCTCTAGGTATTCCCGTTTCCTCCCACATTCCAAAAACAAGCATGGCAGGTTGATGGAACACTCTAAATTGTCCCTAGGTGTGATTGTGAGCACGAATGGTTGGTGAACAGGGTCGCGGGGAGTTGCTGGAGCCTATCCCAGCTGACTTCGGGCGGAAGGCAGACTACACCCTGAACTGGTCGCCAGTCAGTCGCAGGGCACTTATAGAGACAAAAGAACATTCGTACCCACATTCACAAAGTCACTGAGTGGGAACGATCCCACGCCGCCCGCACACAAGTCCAACGTGTGTACCACTACACCATCAGTGACCACCGTAACCCTTAATTCCTAAATATTACTAAATATATTACTGTCTTACATATTATGTTATTATTGTAATTGTGAAAGCCTGACGTGCTAGAGAAAAATAAAAGGGCAGATTTGGAATCAGCATTTAAAAATCTGCATTTGATGGACACCCCGTCCATCAAATCTGGGTACATGGTAAAAAAAAACCCACAATATTTTCAACATGATTTCCATCATTTCCAGTGCATATTTTGATGTGCTTTGGTGAGCTGGATCGAATAGGTCTGCATTGCCATCGATTTCAGTACATTGACTGGTCATGCGTTGTGGTTTAAATCTGGAGTCTTGGTTTGAGTAGATTTTCACAGAGAAAGCTCTGGTCAACAATCTGCTCTGCACCCAGACTTTGCCAACACCCAAGAGAAAAGTTTACTTGCACCTCTGATTTAAAAATGTGGTAAAAATGTGTTATTGAGGATCCTCAATGGTCTCCAAGAGATATTTCGGATGTTCACCTATTTATGTCTTAACATTGTTAATAAATAGTTCCCCTTTTTGATTTCAGGATGTTTCCAGAACTCCCATAAGTGAGAGTCACAGTCACATTTTAAACGTGCTCTCATACATTGGTTGCGGTATATCCGCCCTCTTCTTGGGGATCACTCTCCTCACTTACCTCGCTTTTGAGTGAGTCATCATAAGGAAAAAAAAAAAGAAATCTGGTCAGTTGTGAGTATAATGGAACACTCGATGCCATTCACCTGATTCCAGAAAGCTTCGCCGTGACTACCCGTCGAAAATTCTCATCAACTTGTCGGCCGCCTTGCTGGGACTGAGCTTGATTTTCCTGCTGGACTCGTGGCTCTCGTCTTTTTACGACTACAGCTTGTGTATCGTCACCGCCGCCACACTGCACTACTTCCTGCTGGCCTCCTTCACCTGGATGGCCCTGGAGGCCGTCCACATGCACTTCGCCCTGGTCAAGGTCTTCAACACATACGTGCCTGCGTACATCCTCAAGTTCTGCGCTGTCGGGTGGGGTAAGGAAAAAGACGGCACAGTCTTGGTAATGACATTATGAAGAGCAATATCACAGACTGCAACCATGCAGACTATGTATGGCCTTTCACTTGTATAGCACTTTTCTACCGTCATGGAATTCAAGCTTTAACGTTTTCTCGATTCACCTAATGATGATGCAGTATCAGTTACATATTTTCTGCACTATAAGGCACACCTAAAAGCATTCAATTTTCTCAAAAGCCGACAGTGCGCCTTATATTACGATGCGGCTTATATATGGATCAATATTCTGATTTCATGGATGTAGTATTCTAAATGTTCTATAAATTGCTTTGTTACAGCTGCAGTGGTTGTGAAAGCTCTATATAAATAAAGCTGTATTGTATTGTATTCCCTTTAGCATAGCTCCATCTAGTGGATGCATAACACAACCGCAGGCACGATTGTAGCTTCTATTCTATGGGCCTTATAATGCGAGGCGCCCTATATATGAAAACCGTTTTAAAATAGGCCATTCGTTGAAGGTGCACCTTATACTCAGAAGCACCTTATAGTGTGGAAAATACGGTAATTAGATGTGCATTAGCTTGCCTCTGGATTCTAAAATTATGTGGATTGTGTGACGCTAACAATCACATTTTAGTGGACTCAATCATCATTTTTTGTAGATACATTCACCATATTTCTAATATTTGTCCTATTAAAGTATAGGATCTCAAGCTTTTGGGGTCCTTGAGGAAAAAAAATATTCATGCTGCTGTAGAGGATGTTATTGTTTTTGTTCAGTTGAAAGAAAGAGAGCCAAGGGAGCTGTAGTCAAAGATTGACAATTTAAAGTGTCTTCCTGTATAGTGTTTTTAAAAAATGTTGCTAATCCTGCTCTGGCAATGTGCCTATGTCTTGTTTTATCCTTGCAGGCGTTCCTCTGGCCATCGTCTGCTTGGTGCTGGCCATAGATAAAGACGCCTATGGGAACACTAAGGAGACAGCAGTTGCAGCAAAGAGTAAAATTACCAACGAATTGTAAGTACTCCCTATGATAGTATATAGAGCAAGTTTGTTTCAAATATAAGGTTACAGTTTTTGCAGAACATACCGATAATAACAAGAGTTAAAATAGTGTCCTGCTCGGGGCATTGTATCTAGCTGCTGGCTGCAGAACGACATCTTCTTCTACGTGACGGTGGCGGCCTTCGTCCTGCTGGTCCTGTTGTGCAACGCAACCATCTTCGTGGTGGTTCTGATTCAGATCCGCAAGACGGCCGCCAACAAAAAGGCGTCGACCAGCAGTCGCAGCACCATGCAGGACTTGAGGGCGGTGGCCAGCCTCACCGTTCTGCTGGGTCTCACATGGCTCGTGGGCTTCCTCACCTTTGGAAAAGGCAAAGTGGCCATGATGTACCTGTTCACCATCTTCAACACGCTGCAGGGTAAAGATAAAAAACCTACACATTGATTTTAATGCCAGATTGATGACGTGAGAAAGGAGAGTTTCCCCCAAGCACTGTTTTGGTGCCAATAGATTGACTTTTTATGTTCGCATGGTGAAATGTTGCGAATGTTACCGCAATGACACATCATTAAGCTACAAAAGGCTTGAACTGATTCTCGTTTACCATTTTCTGCTAGAAAATGGAATGGTGTCCATTGATTGGCCAACAAGTAATCTCAAATCGAAATTAATTTTTGAAACGATGACGAACGAGTGGTTTGCGCCAAACGCTGCGGAATTGATGAGCAGAAAAGAAAATGGCTTAACACAAGACAGATAAGCGTTTTGATTCCAATCCGTAGTGCGGAGTTTTCAAAATTTGGGGATGTCAATGTTATGTGTCGCGGTGTTGAATGTAAAGCAACTTGTCATCTGGCTTATTTACTTTTCAAATCAAGTAATCAGTAAAAAACGAAATTCCTTTTAAAGTCAAGTAATGAGTTGAGTAACTAAGTTCCTTATTCAAGGTAACTGTGGTACCCCAAGTTATGAGCTCAGTGACAGCCATTAGAGAGCCACCCCACTAGGAATAAAAAAAAACCTTGTTGGACATTTACCACAATAAATTGAAATGAAAATCACACCTTATTTTGTGGAAAAAGCATCTGTGTGATGACAGCGGTGTATTTTATGAGTGTGGTTTAAGGTGACAAATGAAAATTGAACAGTTGTCTGAGTGGCGCCGCTTCATTGCAAAAATGGGAATATTTTTTTCCTCTCTTCCGCAGGGTTCTTCGTTTTTCTCTTCCACTGCCTGATGAAAGAAAATGTGCGGAAACAATGGCGAATCCATTTGTGTTGCGGTGCTTTAAGACTCGCTGACCGTTCAGGTACTCTACTTTTTCAAAAAGGGAATGAGTTGCGGGCTGGGTGTGGAATTGTGTGTGTTTTGTGTTTTCAGACTGGAGTGCGACAACGGGCGGTCACCGCAGGAAAGAGAATCTTATTAACTCCAGCTCCACTGTCAAAACCTCGCTCAGGAACACTTCTGAGTCTGACACTGGCATGGAAAACCAGAAGGGGGCGTAAGAAAGCCTCCCCAATGGTTTGACTCGATGTCTTAAACTTGCTTTGCCTGGGGAATTGTCCAATTTCACGTAATTGTTTCAAAATTAACAGCTACAGTCGTGCCTTGAGATACAAGTTGAATTCATTCAGTGAACACACTCCTAACTTAAAACACTCATATACTTGGAGGGCTGTAATAATATCGAAACAAATATTTAGCCCGTCAATGGCCTTTTCCATTCGGTGTTAGCATTAGCATTAAGGTAGCAGACTCAAAGGGCATTTTCTTTACAAAATGATGTTCTATGGAGCCCCACTAGTCCAAACATGGCATTCTGATTAAATTTGTGTTTGTGTAATATGAGTTAAGCAGTAAAAGATACCGTTCTTTTTTTTCTATCTCAGAGGACGGCCATTTTGCCACTTTCTGTCGACTGAAAATGACATCAGTTGCTCAAGGGCTCAGTAACGACCAATCATGGCTCACCTGTTTTCTGTAGCTGAGCCATGAGCAACTGCGATGCCATTTTCAGTCGACAGCAAAGTGGCAAAGCCCCCCCCCCCCACAACCCTGAGATGGATAAAAACTGGTGGGCTTTACTGCTGAACTCATATTCCACCAACACAATATTAATCAGAATGCTGTTTTTAAGACGAATGAAGGTACATAAAACATTATTGTCAAGAAAATGTTTCGGGTTAACTTCCCCTTTCAAGGCTAAGCTATGTGGTTGTTTTAAGTATAAAACGTTTTTGGGTTTTTTTTTTGTTCACCATCTGCCAAACTGCTGCTGGTTGTGAGTGAGATGAGTTGAGTTCGCTTCCACCATACGGCAGAGTCAAAGCAAAAAGGCTTCCAAACGACAGCTTGTATCCTCATGAAATTACTACGTCGGGTCAAGGGTATCTCAAGGCACCACTATCTCTAGGCCGAGGATGTATTGTAACTGTCAGAATGCTTAAAAACTCTTCTACAAGATGGCAGAAGGTACAGTATATAATCAACCCGTGTATGCGCTTTTTGTGATATTAATGCAAAGCCAAAACTCAAACAGCACTGAAATTCAAAACAATATACTGTATTACCAAATTACAGTGTTATCTGAATTTTTTTTTTTTTTTTTTATAAGCAAGTAACATCATATTCATATTATTCCAGTCCCAGAATGAATTGCAGTTCTTTTTCAGCATTAGGACTTTGTGCTCAACAAGTAGCAATTCACTGATTCTAAATGTGAATTAAAATGTGACGGAAGAATGTGTGAAAAGTTGCATTTTAGTACTTTATGTCCATTTTGCTTATTGTGTGTACCCATGTCTACCCTACTTTGGTCAAACAAAAATGCAAACATAATAAATAGTATCATGCCTGATTTATTGAATATTTATTTTTATGCAATGAAAAGTTCAAGTGATTGACCAAAGTCCTATTTTTTTTTACTCTGATCCAGGTTAGTATTTTTACCCTGATTCTTGACAAGCAGACTTGCTGTCGCCAATTTCTTGTCAAACATGCTATTTTCACAGATTCTTGTCGAACAGTACCGTTTCCCTTGCTCGTCCCTGATTCTTGTATGGCGAACTCTTTTTCCTTATTTTTGTACGAACACAGACAAGGATCAAGGAATGACTAAGAACATATTTTAAACCTGATTTTTGAATGGCACACTTTTTATTCCCCAAGTCTTGCCTAATATACTTAGACCCTGATTCTCGGCCAGCACGTCATTTACTCTTTCAGATTCTCGTCTGTCATACGTTTCTCTTCCTTTTGACACTTTACCATTTGACAAGTTACCATTTTTCCCTGATTCTTGATGAACAAAACCACTCTTGTCTCACAATCTCTCACCCTGATTCTTGGCGAACGTACTTTGTAAAAACTGCTCCGTGGTTCTTGCCTAACACACTTTTTCCGGGATTCTAGCACAACTATTCCGATATTCTTGACTAACGTGCTTTCTCGACTTTGATTATTGCGCTGCATATTGTTTTGAAATATATTATAATAAATTTCAAACGATACCCCTTGGTTGTTGACCAAAAATGCTTGACATTCTATTTTTATCTTTTCATGAATGTTACCATTCCTTTATTCTTGATTGGCATTCTGATTTTTTTTGTACTCTCTGACACTCTCAGTCTTTAAAAATAAATAAATAAATGTCCATTGTTTGAAACTTTCTGGCTGTTTATGTAGACTGGCAAATGCGCAACGCTATTTACGAGTCAGTGTCAAACTACCCTACAACAATTACACGAGTCATTCGCAAGCCACTCAAGGGTGCTGGTCGATGTTTAGCGGCTGGTTTGTAAGAGTTCTCCCTTTCTTTTCCTAAGATCACAGAGGCTTTCTAATTTTAATCTCTTATCTGCATGGATGTCTGCAAAGTCACTTCTTTATAGCATTAAGAGTTCGGGGATTTTTTTTTTTCTTGAGTCTAGGATTCTGGCTGAACTTGCTGGATGACATTCTGCACATAGTTGGGCACAAGAAGACTCCCACACCCTTTCACAAGCTCACACATCCTATCAGTCAGTGATATTTTGGGGCTTTCCTCTATACAAAAAAGAAACATTGTGGTGGCATTTTTCACCCAACCAATGACAAGTTACCGCGAAGCCCGGTGGCGGAATTTTTCCTGAAATTTTGGCAGCTGCTCATGTAGGTAAACACATCAACTTTGCAATCAAAGGAAAAACTTACCTGTTGTTCGCCTTTGGTCAGGTAAGACAAATTCAAATGTGCCTTTTCTATCATTTATGTGATAGGACACAGCAAAAAAAAAAAAAAAAGAAATGTTGTACAGCAATAACAATTTCTTCATTTCTACTTGCTTGATCAATCGTGCCGCACTGAGAGTTTCAACCTAATTCATGCTGTTGTCAGACTGTTGACTTTGCCGAGGTTGAGCTGACCCGAAAAGATATTTACACAACTAATAAAAGCACATGGACAAGAAAATCTGTCCATCTGCATGCTTTGATGAAACGTTTTATTTTTTTACCCTCCGAATTGTAAACTGAGAAAATTAAGGTTGGGCAATGCATAGTCTATAAAAAAATTTGAAAAATACTTATGTAACAGCATTAAGAATATATACGCACACATTTTTCTTTAGTATCTTATGAATAGTAGTTACTGTGTGTTCAATTTTAACTCAAGTTTAAATGAACCATTTTTGGCCCTTGCCCATTAAAGATTTATATTCAGGCGGAAGACACAATTAAACAGGATTTAACTTGTGGTACGATAGTAGTAGAAGTAGTTGTACAGGTACTAGTACTAGCAGTAGTAGTTTCCGACCCAATTATTTGAAGAGCGTAAAGTTGACCAAAGTGCTTACCGCTGTGTAATCTAAACAAATAAAACACAGCAAGTAAAATGCATGTAAATACCAGCAGGGATCGGTACCAAGACAAAACAGAGGGACGGTAAAAACACCAATAGAAAAAAATAAGTACACACAATATAAGAACAAAACTATGTAAAAAAATAAAGAAAATAAAATCATCAACAGCTGAAGCTGAGGGACAAGTCAGAGGGAAAAAAAACTGTGTTTGAAGTGACTTTGCCTCGAGCCAAATACAAAGGAGGATGACTGAAAGATAACTGCATGATTACTTCTTACACATTCCACAACATTAAAAGTCAGCTAGACATACTCATGATTTTTAGGACTAATACTACTATCAAGTAATCATCTGTACTCAAATGAAAATAAGATGAGTTTTCACTCATGATTGAAAGCTCTTTAACAGTCTTCTCCTTTACTTCATGATGACAAAGCATCAGGAGAAACCAGGGGATCAGTATCTTGCTTAACTAAGCACATATGGTCACGAGAGTTGGGGATTGAACCCAGAACCTTCAGGTTGGGAGTTGAGCACCCTCGCACCTTAGCCGTGCGGTGCTGATAGGTTAACGCGTTCCGTGATGATGTTGCGGTAAATATATGAATGGAACCGGGAGGTAAAGTCGCCTCAATTTCTGGAAGTATTTCGGAGCTTTTGAATTCATCCATCCATTTCCTGATCCACTTGTCCTAAGGAGGGTTGCGGGCGTGCTGGAGCCTATCCCAGCCGTCTTCGGGCAGCAGGCGGGGGACACCCTGAACTGGTTGCCAGCCAATCGCAAAGCACACATAGACGAACAACGATCCGTGCTCACACTCATACCTCGGGACAATTTAGAGTGTTCAATCAACCTGCCATGCATGTTATTGGAATGTGGGAGGAAACCGGAGTACCCGGAGAAAACCCACGCAGGCACGGGGAGAGCTTGCAAACTCCACACAGGGAGGCCAGAGCCGGAATCGAACCCTGCACGTCTGCACTACGTGGTTACCAGTCGACCACCGTGCCTTCTTTTGAATTCACTTGACCCCAAATTTATGATTTACATTTACCCTATTAAAGAGGCTGCTGATGATTCTATAGTTAGATTCTATGGCTAGATTCTATAGTTGCCGTTGTTTTTTTTAAGTGTAGGTATATTGTGTTACAATTTTCTTGATAACACTTGCAACTGATGTAAAATCAGATAAATTTGATTTCGAAATTTGATTGGATTATTTTTTCTTTTTGTGGCTATGTTTAGAAGCCAATTGCAGCTGTTAACTCACTCATTTTGTTTACCTGACCTCATCTTCAGCCATGTTCCCAACTTTTCACTTCAAGCCAGTCACACAGATCAATTGAGTCCCAATCAGTGTGCTGTGAGTTACAGCATCATCCGCCACCTGGTCTAAAAACTTTTATTTCCCCCCTTCAAATGATCTAACTCAGGGGTCCCCAACCACCGGTCCGCAGGGCATTTGGTACCGGGCCGCACAGAAAGAACTTGCCTTA